ACTCCGATGGGATGGTCTCAGTTCCAGAAAGTTTGGTTTTGCAGCTCAGAATGGCTCTGGCTGCAATGAGCCTTTTCAGTTTGCTGGCAAAAGCTCGGCCTCTACAATATTTGCTTCAACCTCAACCAGTCTTTGCTTGAGCCAAAGAGTTCAGCGAAATGACAGTGGCCACTGGCAGTTCCATCGGTTTGCCAGGGAGAAAGGATGGGAAAGGCAACTTCTTGGATGCCTCCACGCCCAGCAGTCCGGACACATTTTGGCAGGCGGTCGATTCGGTTCCTTCTTGGGACCAAATCACATTTGGCGCGCTGGAGTTCAAACGCGCTCATGCGCGTGTCCTGATTCAGCTCGGGGACCCCTGAGGCTTGAAAGCATTGAACAATTGATCTCCATGCAATAGTCGCAACAAATACAAAACACTGCAAACTTAAGTCAACTACTCAGGACTAGGACTGCCGCATACAAAATCATACGCTTCTTGACTAGGATGTTGCAACCAGGCCGCGCCTGGTTTGATCCGACAGGTTTAAACGGTTTCTTCTCGTCTGATGCCTTCAGTGTCAGCCATCCACAATTCCGAAGAAACCAATTCAACGCAGCTCTGCAGCTGAGTCTTCTTCTTATGTTTGAAATCCGTCAGAAGCAGCCTTGAAAGAAAGCCAATGCCGAATCGGCAGCAGAGTCACTCGCCGGCCACCCACACACACTCCGATCTCAAGTATCGGTCAAGTTGTGGTTCCCAGGAATTCGGCAGTCATCAACAATCATCAACCAAGCAGTAGCTTGATGGTGCTGTCGGAACCCTATTCCGGGGGACTGGGCTGGCCATCAACTGTTGGATGATTCTTGTTCTCTCTGACAAGAGCCACTGGACTGATGTGGAAGCCTGCACATGACTGCCTTGGTAGGAACTCGGGATGCCGTGCGTTGCAACTTGCCCCTCCAACTTGCTTGGCCCGTTTCTTTCGTTTGAAGCCTCCCAACAAGGCACCACATTCTGACCTGTAGCCAGATCGGCATGTACCATCACCTGAAGACCGACCCAGCCCCGGCCCACTCCTCAGCAGCACCCGCGCAGCCCGCTGCAGCTTCTGCCGTCGGTCAGCTGCGCGTGGCACGTCGGCCGAGAGGCTGGAGAATCGCCACCTGCACGCCATCTCCCGTTCTATCATGCCTTATGGGAGCCGTTTTTGCCATAGAAAAATTGGATGAGCTGATCAGCTGTCGCACGATTCAAAGCCAATGGGCGATTTTGTAGCCCCAAGTTTTCCGCTGTCTGAATAAAATTCCGCGTGATCCTGGCCGCACTACGCATCTAAACACAATTTGTGCAACCAAAACCATGATTATCTCGAATACAAGAAGCAACGGGGGTGCTTTGAAAAGCTGCGTCAGCAATTCTCTGCACGTAGAACTTCCGGAAAGAGCTGCCCAAGTTCGCCCAGGCACCCGAGACTGGAGACAGAGCCGTGATCCGATGACACCTGAGGCGACAAAAATGGGGTCACTGGCCGGTCAATGCAGACCCGCTCCACACAGAAGTGGTGAACAAACGACCTGCAAGGCTGACCCCAGATTCATAAACCTCTGTTTATTACTATGGGGGTGTCCCTGGTTTTCGTAGGGGGCTCTCTCCTTAAATGAGTCGAGCACAGAAACCCCACGCAAGGTCTCGCCTCCCGCGCCTCGGACTGGGCCAAAGAGCTCCTTCCAAAGAGACCCACACGAGTGAGAGGCCAACTCGGGTGAGGATCTTCAAGGAATAGCCCAGCTGTAGCCTTCTGGCTAAGATCAATTGAGTCATAATCAAAACCCGATATTCAAATGGTCGTACTCCCAGAACCATGCTTCAAGAATTAAGAAGATATCCGCAGCTATTTATGGTTGGGAGTATCCCTGACTAACCTTCATATACCAGGGTTTTGATTGTGGCTCAATTCGCGGCCTTCACTGACTGATACGAAAGTGACATGGGCCAAGTCCAAGCAATCAGTCCTGGTGCCACTGGATCTAAGCAGCTCCTCATCAGTGTCGTGGATTCATAGAAACTCTGTGACACTTCACGTTGTCGCTTTTTGCTAGGCTTCAACACACTCAGCCGTCACGCAGCTACAAAGGTGTCGCTTTGCGAGGCCTTTCGCTCTATCAGTCTGTTTGTTGCTGGCGGAGTTGGTGGTAGTTGTTTCCAGGGGGTGCTGGGGCTGGTCAATGCACGTTCCTCAATTTTGGCTGATTTTGCAGGGTGCCTCTTGAACTATTAATCATCACGTTTGCCATTCACTTTGGATTGCCTAATATCGTAGCTATGGCCAAACCTGCCTTAAGAAACGATTCTGGAGCCCCATATGGATCCTTTAAAGGAATCACCAAAGCTGATGCAAAGTGAACAACCACCAAACTACGCACAAAGAGATACTTGTCCGACAATTGCGGGTCCCATCACAACAGATTGCAGAGCAACATGCCTTCAAACAGCGACGCGAGACAAAGACAACATGGCATGGCACCTCCATCCTAAGCCACAAATGAAGCCGCAGGATAGAAACAAGTAACAAGACAATCAAGCTAACGTGAAGATCACCGCAGCATCAGCTCCCCAACCGTGGCAACGGTTTGTGCAAGCTGGCTTGCTCAGCATATGAGCCACCAGAAAAATGTTGCCTGTATTTAATCTCATCTTCCAACATGACCAACAAGTCAAAACCAGCTTTCTGCCAAGCTGTCCCTGGTCTCCTTTGCCCTCTCCAGAGTCATCTCCTCGACACCAGAACTCTGGTCAGCTCCTCGCGGAGTTGCAATGGCCTAGCCTGCAAGTTGCATCACTCAGGTAGATTCGACCAGGTTTGTACTCTATTTCAGGACTTCTTGTCATCCATGCCAGCGTCTCCGTTGTGTTCTTCAGGGATTATGTTAGAGGATTTCTGTTCATCCATGCTGCCCGCTTCCTCAGACTAAACGCTCCCCTTGCTTCTCAGCTGGGCACAACGACAGCCCCCTTTGCGGCTTCAGTTTTGAGGAGTCAACGCAGCCGCAACAAATTTCCGGGCCCAAGGACTGGCCAAACCACAAATTTCTTTCCCCCGCCTGCCAGCTGCTTCTGCAAGTCCTCCATTTGGAGACGCACCGCGAGTATCTGGCGACTGAAATTTCTGGTGGCTCACGCTTGCGGGCGTGAGAGCTTACTGCTATATGCTGCTGCTGGTAAAACAAAGCGAGTGATCGCTTCAAAACAAATTATGCGTCCGTGTGCTCACCTGAGTCACACTCAAAACCCGATATGAAAATGGTTGACCCAGAACCATGCAAGGAAATACAAGGCGGCCGCAGCTTCTTCTGGCTGGGTCTGTCCCCTACTAACCTTCATCTATTCGGTTCTTGATTGTGGCTCACCTCGATTATTCCTACAATGAGCATTCTCATGTGTTTCCTCGCGCCCTGCAGATTTGACTTGGATCTTAGCTCCAAGCCTCTTCAGCGGCCCTGGCGAGAGCAATACGCTCGCAACTCAGCTACCACTTTGCGCGCTGTCAAAAGGCACATGGAGCTACTAGTACAGACCATGCCCTGCCAGGGTGGAGATTGTTGTCCACAGTGCCAAGCCTAAGCTTCCCTTTGAGTATCCCAACAAAACCGCCAGCTGCCTGGAGATGCTGCTAAAATCCTGAGCCAAATCGCAAAACATCGCAAGACAAATCTAGGGGTAACTTCCCCGTTCTTTCCAGGGATCCTTCTTTCTAGAAACCACCAAAAACACTGGGGAAATGGCTGGTTATTGAAAAGAACGATGGCCTAAAAAAATGGGGAATCAACCCCTAGAACAACCCATGTTTGCTAGACACCTACCAACAACAGTGAAGAGAACTCCAGAGTGATCCTTGCGTAAGGGGCTGGCAGTGCTCAACATGCAGTGCAGTGTGAATGGCCGCATCCAATGAATCGATGGCAAGGCGAAACAACTGGGCCTTTCTAAATTCAGCCATCCAAGCCTTAGCATGCAGTTAGCCACAGAAAATCCTTGACCCTGATCCACATCTCAGGACGCGACATCATCTTTGGGTGCGACATCCGCATCTTTGGATACGACATCAGCATCTTTGAATGCGACCGCAGCATCTTTGGATGCAACAGCAGCATCTTTGGATGCGACATCCGCATCTTTGGATGCGACATCAGCATCTTTGGATGCGACATCCGCATCTTTAGATGCGGCATCCTCGTCTTTAGCAGCCGCATCCTCTTTGGAGGCGATGTCTGCATCAGACTGGGCAGCCTTGACCTTCTCGGTAGCCTGCGAGCAATGTGGCAAACAGCACCAGCCCATGGATCTCTTGATGCTTTTCCGAAACACGTCTGAGCATCGTATGACGGCTTGCACAAGGTCAGTCCATTTGCTCCCGCCCGCCGCGGTCGCGAAGGAAGCAAACCACAACAGCGGACTTGCGGGAATTCCCAGCTCTCCGAGGAGGGCATGTTGCGCATTGTCCAGAGATATTCTGCCCAAAGGAGAGCCTCCTTTGAAAAGCCTTGGGAGCCACAAGCGACCAGCTTTTTCTATAACCAATGGCCTCATCAGCATCTGGAGCTTCTCCGGCCATCGGTGCAAAGCGCAGTTCCTGTGTTTTGGTGTCTTTGCTGTTGCCTGTCGAATCAGCCATGCAACTGCTGCCATGCCACGATTGGTCCGCCTCTTAAGATGCATCAGGTCCGCCCCAGTTCTGGTCTGACATTCATCCAGTTCTGTGTTGACCCCCAGCTTCTGGGCAATACGACTTAAGCCAATAGAAGCCTCAAAAATAGACCTGCGACACGCATGTTCCTGGTCTCAGGAACGAACTTCACTTGCAAAGCGCTGCTCACTCTCCGCTGCTTTTCGGCATCATCATCTGTACAGTGCACCAGGGGCCGAGCAACGGTGTTTCCTTGTTTCCTCGGAGCGCTCGTGGCTTCCTGCCCAGTGAGGGTCTTATGTCCACCGCGAGGGCTCAAATAACATCGGTGCGCTAGAAGGCGGCGTCAATCTCCTGGCTGGTGTACCTGTCAATGGGTCTCAAGTCTTGAGGCCTGGCTTTCTGGTTTCCTACAGACCAGCTCACGAAAAGGCTTCCCTTCCGGCTCATACCTTACCAGATTCGGACATCTTCGGCTTCTTTCAGGGTCACCGCTGCTCTTGGTTGCAGGAGAAGCCCACCATCTTGCAGGCAAAGCCAGCATCTGCCTGTGGCTCGTGGCATCTGCGGCTGGCGCGGCTGAAGGCCCTGAGGGCGCGGGCGCCCATGAGCTTCGGGGCTTCGGTGGTGCCACAAGGCCTCCGGAACGGCCAAAGCGCCAAACCCATCCTGGGACCATCTGGGACCCACCTCTTTCCAGGAGATTTGCGCGCAGAAACACCCAAAGTGCCGATTTTCAGGAGAGTTGCGCGAAGAAAAAGAGGGAGCGTGACTAGGGACACATGCCTCTTGGGGGTTCCCTTTTTTAAAGTTGAAACCTGCTGAGCCTTGTTTCGGCCTTGGGCCATAGGAGACTCCTAAGAGACCTAAGAATCAAACGACATATTCATGGAGTGACGTCATGTTGGATCTTTCTGAGACCTGGTACAAGCAGCATGATGTCCTGATAGCCTTACAGCTACACCTGGATGAGGTTGATCTCTCAAATTGACTTGGCCGTGGGTCAAACGCAATGGTACCATTTTGGGGCAGGCACCACCCATTTTAGTCGATTTTAGTGGGGATTGGGATGTTCACTGGGGGGGAAACCAGGCTTTTGACCCATGGCCGCTTGGCTGTAGCTGTCAGGTCGAAAGCAACGGCCAATCCACTCGCGCTAAGCAGCTGCACTTGACGCGGCCTCCACTTGGAGCAGAAGCTGCATTGCACGCAAGCCTGGCCGGGAATCCAGCGCCCAAATGCAGAAAAGCCGCAACAACATGTGGCCATGGGTCAAAATCCCGTACTCCCAGTGAACATCCCAATTCCCACTCAAATAGGTTCTAAAATGGGTGGTGCACCTACCCCAAAATGGTACCATTAATTGCAGTTCAAATAAATCGCGTCGAGTCGGATATCAGCCCGAAGGCGAGAGAGTGCAAACCCGGGCCTGTCTCCGCCGCATTTTCCAATCGTTTCATCATAGGCAATTGCGATTCGTGTGGGCAGACGATTCGACCCCGCATCTAACGCACAACCTCAAGGCATCCTGTGGCACTGCTCATATAGACCCTTCCGCGCCCAAAAAATGCCATGACTGCGCAGGTGCCCAAAGAGCAAGAGCCTGCAAATGGGCAGGTTCTGTTGAAGGCTGCTGAGGCATAACTGATCGAGCCCGTGTTTAAGGTTGTCAACTATCATGTCAGCGGGAAACTAGGCATTGGGAGTGGTTAGAAGAGCTTTCAGACACACAAACACCTCCACACACACACACACACACATACACATACACAGAGCGAGAGCGAGCGAGAGAGACAGAGAGAGAGAGAGAGAGAGAGAGAGAGAGAGAGAGACACGCGCGCGCGAGAAACAATGTGCAAGAGCAGGGAGTTGCAGGGTTGGCGGGGCCATTGCCACCCCAACTGGCCTCCCACTCGCTTAAAGGCGGCACGTCGCGGAAATCCTCCTGACGCAACGCTACGCCCTGCCCCAAAGCAGCAACTCCCGGAGCCGCAAGCCACCAAACCTGTCAGGAGAAGAACCATATATTACGATATGGCTGTGGGTCAAAACCAATGGTATCCCATTTTGGGGTAGGTGAATTCACCACCCATTCTAGAACCTATTTTAGTGGGGATTGGGATGTTCACCAGGGGTACAATTTGGCTTTTGACCCATGGCCATACAGCCGTTGCAGTTTGCCCGGGATTGGGAAACCTGCAGCCTTTGGCAACCCAAAGGCAATGCTGCAGGCAACGCCGCAAGGAAGAAAGCTTCTCATGCTGCGGGTATTGGTTGTAACTTCTTGTATCCGGCTCTGCAGGCAAAATAGCTGAAACTGTTGCACCAGATGAGGCCAATGACATGATGATTATGCGAATTGGGGATGCGTTGTCTATGACTTCTCAACATTGGGTAAGATCTACCATGAACTCTTCACTGAACTTCTGGGGGCAGAAATGCCAACTCAGTTAGTTGGTGGCCGGTTTTTGGGGGTGAGGGCGGCCAGGCAACCGAAGTCTCACCCATCTCCTGGGCCTTCTTGGCTGCGCCCGCTTCTTTGCTCAGCTGCGCTTTCACTTCCTGAGCCAAACCTCTTAACGAAAATCCGCGTCTCAGAAATTGGAAGTCGGTGAAGCCAAGCTTTCACCCTTAAGTCGGGAACGAACAACTCTCAGATGCCTTCCTGCAGCAAGTTCCGTGCTTCCGTGGCCCAGAGCACACGAGCTAACGGCCACAATTGATTCGAGTCCCAGCCTTCCAGCCCTGGTAGCCATGCAGCTCAATCTTCACTGAAGGTGATGGCTCATGAGTCATGAAACCAGCGTTTTGTTCATTCATTCCAGTATGGCAGGATGACCCTACGATAAAACACCTTTGAAACTCAGGCCGTTTCTCTGGTAGCTCAAACCAGGCTCTGCGCCACATCGCTGTTGCACACCCTGGCGTGTGCCTTCCTTGAGACTGTCCCAATAGTCTGAGGGACCCCGCAGCTGAGGGCAGGGGCAGCGAGTCACCAGCGGTGCTGGCGCAGGTCGCTGTCTTTGCCGTGGCCTTGCCGTCATTTGGAACACTCTAGTGGACGGACGAAGCTGCAAGGGTCACTGGGGCTCCTACTCAAAAGTTGCCCTTTACTCCTGAATTCCAATACATGTAAGCCAGTGTCAGGGTAAATGGGTGTTTCAAATCCAAATGGTGTTTTCAAAGTTTTCTCTGGGATGTGAAAATTGGTGTTAGTGGCAAGAGGACACCAACCCACCTGCAGTCTTGAGTGGGAGCAGGGAGGGCTGGGGAGGGCAGGGAAGAATAATGGTGGGGGCTCCAAAAGTTGTTGTTATTTCAAGGCGCTTGAGTACGGGTGACAGGGATGGGCGGGCTGGAGGGCATGCTGGGGCCTGTGACCTGTCCTCATCATCTTCATCAGAGGAGCGGGGGGGGGGGGGGCAGGGCGGCACAATAAATCTGCGTGCAGTTGCCTAGGGAATTGCAACAGACAGGGTTTCCTGTTTTCCTCAGGCCTGCCAGTTTGGCTCACTGGCTTCTTTCTGTTTAAGGAAATGTTTTTCACGTTTTGCACAAACCTTCAACTTGCAATTGAGACACAGGAAGTCCGTGGGATGTTCCGACTGACTGGGTTTTCAAACCATGATGTTGCCCTGTCCAAACAAATCCAAAAATAACATTTGGCTCCAGCTGAGGGCATGAAAAAAACATTGTGCTAAATTGTCACCAGCATGTTTTGCAGACACACCGTTAGCATGCTTGAAGATCCTTGCAGCAATCCTCTATGTTGATGTCCTTGCGTCAGGGTGGCATTACTTGTGCTGCTAGGGCCTGGGACCTAAAACATGGCTTGCAAAACCTGTGTAGATCAGGATCCATCATTTGTTATATTCCTAGGTAGCCTGGAAGTTATGCCTTGTTTGCAGCCTTACAGGGGGCTGACAGGTAGGGGAGGGGCAAGGCCGCATGATAAATATCGAAAGGCGCCCCTGGCTCAAGGCAGTCTGCAAATTAGCTCATGGAATAATAATGGTGGGGGCTCCAAAAGTTGTTGTTATTTCAAGGCGCTTGAGTACGGGCGACAGGGATGGGCGGGCTGGTGACCTGTCCTCATCATCTTCATCAAGCACATCCGCTGGGGGAGCGGTAAAATAACCCAATGGTGCAGAGATTGCACAGGTCCGCTGAGAGAGCGGTTAAACCTCACCTGAAAGCGCTGAGAGAGCGCAAGAGCTGCTGAAAGAGCGGCCAATGATCTCAGACTGCAATGCAGTTGGCCAGTCTCAGACTGCAAAGGCCTCAGCAGTGTGCAACAGGGGTCCCATGCTTTAGGGCTCACTTGAAACTAATATTGCCATGATGGCTTAATCTCAAATTCCAAGTATGGACTTTAGTATTCACTCTTGCCAGGACATCCATTATGCACTTCAGTCACAGCAATATGAAACTTAGCATTGCATGCCCTTCATCTCAGGTTCTCAGTATTTTCTCTGGTGTTGTCAGATTCCCAGTATTTCTTGTGAATGTTTGCAATGCTACTTGAATCTTGCAAGGGTTTGGGGCTAGGCTTACAACATGGAACCAGGCCAGGCCAACAATCTCAGACTGCAATGGCTCATTGCTTCATTGCACCAGCTTGGCATTGATTTTCTAGGATTTGCTAGGCACTTCAAACTCGCTTGGACTCAATCACAGGCATCTTCCAAATGCAATTTTGAAAAGGCGCCAGGAGAATTTGTTTGCAGCTGAGCTCCAACTTGGGGGAGAGTTCAAGAGTTTCTGGACCAGCAGGTTGTTAGGTTACAAGCTTATCAACAGCTTCCAACGGTCGGACAAAGGCATTCGTCAGCCTCACCAGCATTTGGCCTAGCCTCAAATGAGTGAATGAGGCACTCTCTCAATTACAGGCATGCACTCTTTGCACTTCACAGGCATGGCGGATGGGTATGGGCAGTGCCTGCCCAGTGGCAAGTTGCCCAGTAATAGCACCCCAGCACAGCTTCCCTCACTACCCAATTAGGTTATGGAATGATAAGGTGCTACTTGTACAGTTTCTTGTCCGCTGCCAAGAGGCCACCAATCCTTCCCCTCAGCCTTTGCGGCAGTGCCTGCACAGTGTGTCCCTAAGGAGCAAGCCAACCCAGACTTAATGGTTTTGCAGAAGGGCAAGACACCCATTCCAGCTAAAACACAAGGGTGGTGTGTGCCTTGCCCTTGGAATTTGGCAGTATCAGCTGTAGTTGCAAAGAAGCATGACTAACACATGAAAACACTTAAATGCAAATGTAAGGTGTGAGTTGTTTTCAGGAGTACACAAGCCAGGGGCAACACCCAATGTTTCAAGTCAGTCATATTCTGTTTTTGCAGGACGTTCCTGCCAGCAGTTGGCAACATGTTTGGACAGTTGAATGAGTTTCTTCACAGGGCATAAGGCCGTGTCTTTGCTGAACAGAGCTCATGATGTTGGGTGCCTGGTGCCCTGTTGCAGCTGTGAGTCCTCCTTGCTAGCAGGAAGGCTTACATTTGCTGAGGGTTGACTTTTTGAGGCAACTTACTTGCAAAGGGTTCAGTTAGGACAGGTATAAAGCATGGGCCACCTGTAGTTCTGATAGCTGCAGGATGTGAAATAACTAGGCATGTTCTCAGATCCCTGCATTGTAAGGGCTCCACTGTGGCAATGTGATGCCTGGCTAACTGGAAGCCAGAAGAGCCAAAAGCAACTTGACAAACGGGAGCCACAAACATTTTGGGGATTGAATGACAGCTGGGAACAGACGATTCCCCAAGACCTCATAGCCTAAAATAAAACCTCCAGTGATCCTGGCACCCTCACTGAGCTGCAGGCTGGCACTGGCTTGCAGCTGCCTGGCCAAGCCAAGCCAGGCCTGGACAGTGCGTGGAGGGGGCACAATTGGCACTGTATGCAAGAATGGAGCCAGTATTGACTGGTTCCACGAGCCATGAAACCAGTCGCAAGTTCGCATCTGGCGACTGGTTCCACGAGCCATGGAACCAGTCGCATTGATGTTCACATCTGGCGTGACCTACAGAGGTGATTGCTGACTGATTGGAACAAATGAGATTGGCAAACACAAGGGATATCAGGGGAGGCCAGAGACATTTCTGCACCCAGAGATTGACATGGATTTAGATTGAGTACGGAACTCAGGAGCATTGGTTGGTCTGGTGACACCCAACAGTGTGGCATCCAACAGAGGGGGGTTCGTGCAAAAATTGGAAATTTGCCTTTCATGTGCCACCCAACCAAATTTTACGATGCCACGAGGGAGCTCCTTGCTACAGGAAAACGCAAGTCAAGCCAGCCGCCGCCGCTTCTTTGGTGACACCCCTTCAGAGCTCAGCCACATAAATTGTTCCAATCAATGGTAGCCACAAGACATGCACCCCAGCAACCGTGGTTCTGAAGCTGGTGAGATCTGGAGCAGAGGGGCACCTTCCCAATTCGTTTATCAAACAGTTTAATCAGTAAAGAACATGCAGTATTATTGCATCTGTGCTATATACAGAAAGCTTCCTTGGCCTGGGCTTTGGTGGAATCTCAGAGAAGCATGACCAGGCAGCATGGCATGGCATGCATGCAAGTGGATGGCAGGCAGCCACATGTCATGTTAGAACCACTGAGCACTGCCTGCCTTGCAAGCAATGGGTGGTGCTGATCCAAGGCCTGGCAAAGGTGACAGTCGTCGTGGGGCAGATCAGAACAAAGGCCACAACAAGGGCCAGCAGCAAACCACAAGGGGCAAAGGCCACCAGAATCGCACAGAACGCAGGGCCTTGCTAAGCACTGTGGCAGCCACACAGCAGCTCAATGTGACCCTGCGAGAAAGCGAGCAGGCTGCTGCCAGTCGCCTGGCAGAAGTGCAGGGTCAACTTCAGCTTGCTGTTTTTCGAGCAGCAGGCGCAGAAGCAGCAATGGCCTCAGCTCAAGAACCAGCACGAAGGGCAAATGCAGAGCGTGACCATGCGCAGCAGCAGATCCAGCACCTCAATCAGGAGCTTCGAGCTCAGATGGAGGCAAACCGAAATCGGCAGCTCAGGCTGGACATGACCAACAGGGAGCTCCAGTCTGTGAGAAAGGCTGCATTCCAACTACAAGGCCGCTTCAATGACACGCTCCGTGAACTCTCCGTCAGCAATGTTGAGCTGTCCCGCACCCAAGCCCTGCTCTGTGACAAGCAGAATGAGCTCAACTCCATCAAGCTGGACAAGGAAAAGGAGAAGAAGAAGAAGAAGAAGGAGAAGGAGAAGAACAATGATCCTGGACCACCTCCTGGCAAACGAGGGCCTGATGGAAAGGCACATGAAAGCTGAAAGGTGTTTGTCAAATGACATTCCTTTTCTGCAAGGGTAGCCAGGCTGTGCAGGAAAAGGTAAAATAATACTGTTGGGAAAACAAGTCTGTGAACACTGATCCATGGGAAAAAACAAACTTGGGCAAGGTAGTTTGCACACTCTGCTTCCCTGCAAGGGTGGGGGCCGTGGGCGTGGCGGTGGCAGTGCTGGTGCAAAGATCCAGCGTGTGTGCTGAGGAGGCATGGGGGCTCTACAAAAAGCAATTGAAAGTTCAACAAGTGAAGGCTCAACCAGTGGGACTGATGGTTCCCTCATTCAAGTATAGAACTGTGGTAGGATCTGCAAACACTGTGCAGAAGCCAACCGTTGCAACATTTTTCTCAAACAAGCTCTCTTTTTGCAGGTCACCCAATGTATGTAATATGTCATGCTTGAATCTTTGGCCCTGCCCTGGGAGGAGCACAGATGAGCATGCCCTGAGATGAGACGCTGCGTCTTTGCTGCAGTTTCACACTTGGCTGGTTCCCCCAGTGGCTCATTCCTAAGACTTATCCATTACAGATGACAATGAACAGCAAAAAGCGGAGGACCAAGTCAAGTTCACTGCAGTTGCCCGCCTACTTCATGATATAGCAGTAGATCAATCCAGGCAATGCGAAGCAGTAACTGCCAGTCTTGCCCATCTGCGCATTTCAGATGATTGAATGTCAGCCAGGGGATTGCAAACAGGATTGCCTCAGCCAACATTACTGCCTTGCATGGTTTTTGAACAGTGTGCCCGCTTCATGATTTAGCAGGCTGGTGGAAAAGGAAGGCTGAGCAGCTAACCTAGGGGGAGGGTGATGGAAATCCTGCTGGATCACAAAGCAACCAAAAGGCTTGGTGCCATCAAACAGTTTTCCTCTGACATGTGCAAACTACCTCATTCAAGGAGCATGTTGCTGGCCTCAGGGTGATACCTTCCCAAACCACATTTGTTTCCAGCAGTGCCTTGGCAAGCCCTTCAAATTCATGGCATTGGGTTGGTCCCTGGCATTAAAACTCCCTGGTTTTCTTAATGACGCACTGCAGATATTAACTGTAATGGTGATGCCAAGTTGCTTTGCCAAACAAGTTCATTGACCTGCTGCACTTAAATGCTTATTTGGTGTTAACCACTGTTGCCAAGAGGCACTACACACATCAGGAAGTCCACTGAATGCCCTTTTTGCTGTCAGAAACACGCCGCACTGGATTCACATGTTTATCCAAGCCTGTCTGCAGGCAGCCCTTTCTGCAGCTGCTGGCTGCAAAAGCCTTTCTCAGTCTGTTCTCTGGCGTTGAGTTGAGTGGCAACATACTGATTCAGGCTTGCCCTTTTTGTCTGTCTGAATGAGCTTTTAATATTTTTGGGGCGGGTGCCCCTTTGGACGTGCGCGGGTACGTGGCCGTTTTTTTTGTTGCGCTGTCTGCGTGTTTGCGGCTTTTTGTGTTTTTGTGGATTTGACCCGCTTGCTTGTGCAAGTTTCGAGCTGGCATGGTCCCGTTTTTGGGGAGGTGGCCCACTTGTTTGGCTTTGTGAAAAGTGAAGTAGGACAGACACACAATGTCCTTTCTATGAGACTGCAATCTTGGCTAGCAACAGGGAAGGGCTGCATGCAAGGCCCTGACAGTGTTATAACTCGAAGTGCTGGAAATCAGTGCTTGCGCACAATTATTTTCAAGCAGGACCTCTTGTGTCAAGGTGTCAGAACCACCATTTGGTAATGGTGATGCTGTTCATTGTGCATGAAACAGATCATCTTTGCAACAATGCCTTCAGCGGCCTCATTGGCACTGAACAGGTATGTCAGGGGCCATTGGCCATCTTCGATTTTTTTCCCTCAACTCATGCAATCCCAGCTGCAGCCACTCAGCCAGGTTTGCATCGGCAGAGAAGGGCTCATACCTCAACAAATCAGCAGAGGGGAAGGATGGGATGGCCAGGGCTCTACGGACAAGTGTATAGAAAATTGGCAGCCACTTGCAAGGCCAGGGTGCAGTACAGGTTCCACATCAATCATTCTCCATCACTGCTGTGTCCCAAAGGGGGTTCCATTCTCATTTGTAGGAATCTCTCCACTCACCCACATGTTGCACATCAGTGGGACTTGAAGTGCCATGATTGGGCAGGATTCAGAGCTTTTGCTTGGGCTGAAGCAGCCACAGGTATTGATGTTGTTGCACTCAACTGGCTCCAGCAGCTTCTACTGTACTAGGCAACAAAGGGTTTGTACACCTTGAAGACAACACGTTGAGCTGGAACCACCAGCCTGGTTGTAGGCACCAGGGCATCCAAGGCTTGGCACAGATCTGAAGTCAATGTTTCTCTGCCCTATGCAAACTGTCCCTAGTAGCTGTTGTTGAAAAACTAGTTTGTAAATGCGGGCAAACACTTTGCCCTCCACAATGTGTGAGCCATCCTGCCTCACAGCCCTGCTGCTGCAGGAATTTAGCAGGCAGTTGTCTTCCTATCCCCATGCTTTCTGGGACATCAAGCCTCTTCATGTAGTCTGGCTGCATTGAAAT